TGGGGCCTGATGCTGGTGAGGGGCTCTTAATTGGGAATGGATTGTGCCCCGTTCCCCGAGTTAAACTAAAACCTTTCCCTCCCCCCCCAAGCACTGTATAATCATGGGTTTAGTGCTTCCCCTTGATTTTTTAATATCTTTTTCATGGGGGTTGGGTTCAACGTGTTTACGTTTTGAATTTTCCCCATTTTGACCCCTATTTTCAGCCAATTCCAGTGTATAGTTGAAAAAAATCATAACTTTTCGCTAGAACTCCATTTTTTTTAAAATGAGTAAAAAAATCACCCATTTCCCGTTTCAACTACCCCAATACAGGGTTTCGAATTTAGCAATTTTGCCAATTTCAAAAAATTTTTCAAGATCCCAAATTTTGATAGGGTTCGAAAAACAAAGACTTCCGGGCACAAAAAAACATTTCATTGTTCATTGCCCGTCCCCATGCCCTCTTACATTCTTTTGCTTTCCACTTTAAATTTTTATTCTCACAAAAAAAATAGAAGATTTACTGTATGCAGATACTGCTTGGTGTAGAAATTGATAAATATCAGCGCATTGTGAAAAATTTATCCCCATTGGTTATTGGGATGCACCCTAAGGAAAGGGTTTCCTTGATGTTGGGAGGGGTTTGATTTGGGGATTGGATCTGTGCTCCAGTTCCCGAATTGACCCCTGAATCCCTTCCACACCCCCCCCAGGCGCTGTATAACCCTCGGGTTTTAGCGCCCCCCCTTGTTTATAATAAAAATAATGGACGCTGCATGATTTGTTTACTTTTGAACTTTTAAAAAATTGAACATTTCTGTATTTTTGAGCTAAAAATTTCAAGGTGTTTGGGGTTTTAAAAAAATCAAATCATTCAATTTCTTTTAATATGTTTCCATTTATAAATGAGCCAGGAAAACTAGAATAAAACAAAAAATACCATCCCAAAATACAGTGCAAATCACGTTTTAACCCAAAAAACCGGTCAAGTTTTTTTTTCTCATAATGCAATGTGGCTGCGGGGTTTTTTTTTTTTTTTTTTTATATAATATATATATTTTAAACGCACACACTGACCACATCCCCATTCTTTCTATGTGGGCCCTACCGCTTTTCTATGATTTGTGGGCGCTAGAATTTAGGCGTATGTACGTAAAAACCGGGCTCATAAGCCGTACTGACGGCTAAAAACCCTGAAAGGGTTAAGGTCCTCTTGGGTAGAAGTTAGTTAAAAAAAAAAAAAAAATCTGCATTGACTAAAAAAAATTTAAAGAAAAATTAAAAAAAATCTTTTAATATATTGCTATTTTATGTTGAAGTATAATACATTAAAATTTAATCCTGAAAACCTAAAAAACCCCCAGATTCCAGTAGTTTAATTCTTCATTGGGATCTTAAAAAATTTTTTATAAGAGATTTTGTCAACAAAATCAGTTTGAAAAAAAAAAGGTAAAATATTGTATTTAACTGAAAGCACATTGAATAGTGAAAAGTGATTATACTGGTGTTATGAAAGTATACGAACCCGTACCCAATTACATATGTGTAAGATAGTAAAAAGGTGCGTTGCTTGCACAAAAATTTTATTACCCTAACAAAAACCCAAATTTTATCACAAAAAAAATTTATAAAACCCTTGATGTGCCCATTTTACAAGTTTAAAATTTCAAAAGTGTTATCAATAAACCATCAGAAAGAAGCCTTGATGTAGTGAGTGGCTCTTGATTCAAGGAATTAGACCTTTCCTCCCCTTTAAACAAACTTTAGTGCCTCCCTTTCCCCAAATGCTGCATTACCCCTTTTGGACCTACAGCTTTGTAACCCCTGTACATGGATAAACAACTTGAAATTTAAACAGAGTAATTGTACATTAGTAGTGTGCACAACCCACATTTCCAATAAAAAATAATTATTGTAAATATATTTCATTATAAAAAATTTCAGTACAGGCAAAATCCTTGAGATGGATCCCCTGCATATGACCAATTTCAACAAGTCAATAAAAACTATGATGCTTTATACCCCTTTCCATGAAGTCACTTTTTTTGCCTCGGCCCCCTTTTTAAATAAGCTTCTATTATGGTGTGTATAAACCCAGGGTTTGCGTTCCCTTGATTTTTTTAAAAATAATTTATTAGGGGTGTTTAAATTTTAAGTTTACATATTAATTTTCTTTAGTTTTTCGTATGCTTTTTTGCCATTTTATTTACAAAATTACCTGGTGTGCTTGTTTTTTTGTGGTTGCAGGAATCTTACATGTGTAAATTTACTTATTGTGCATGCATACAACGTAAATACAGTGCTTACACACGATGATATTTAGGTCCGAAACCTAAGGTAACTCCACAAAGATGATAAAAATTTATAACATAAACCTTGATGATGCATAGAATAGGTGGTAAAAAAATAAGAAAGATGACACCAAGAGCAATCAAGTACAGCCACAACTGTGTAAAGCGAGACGGTAACCACATGACGGTGTAGTGCACAAGGCCGGACTTCTCTGCAAAAGTTTAACGCAGTGAATATTTACAAATTGAATAGAAATTAATTTTTGTTACCTCACTAAAATCTTAACAAGTTATATAAATTTTCAATGATTACAGATAATGGTCCCCTCAAGGGAGGTTCCTTGATGCTCGTGAGGGGCTCTTGATCTAGGGAATTGGATCTGTGTTCCAGTTCCCTGAATTAAGCCTGAATACCTCCCACTCCCCCTCCACAGGTACTGTATAATCCTATGGGTTTAGCACTTCCCCATGATTATAATAATTGTGTGAAATTAGGATACAGGAAATAATTTATATAGCAATGTGTGGAATGAATATTATGCAGAGAATTCATAGTGTGGAAATTAGGTGTGGAGTTACTAAAAGTATTATTCAGAGGGCTGAGGAGGGATTGCTGAGGTGGTTTGGTCATTTAGAGAGGGTGACTTGGAGGGTGTATAAATCTGTAGTGGAGGGGAAGAGGGGTAGGTCATCCTAGGAAAGGATGGAGGGAGGGGGGCTCGGACATACGTCAAGTATGTGAGAGTGTGTTGAGTGGAGATGAATGGTTTTTTGGACTCGATAGTTGGAATGTGAGCAGGGTAACATTTTTTAAAGGGATATAGGGAAACCAGTTAGCTGGACTCAAGTCCTGAAGATGGGAGGTACAATGCCTACACTTTAAGGGAGGAGTTTGGGATATTTGCCGTTTGGAGTGACATTAAATAATCTGAGCGCCTCTGCAAAGACATTGATTATGTGTGAATGATGGTGAAAGTGTTTTTGTTTTCTGGGTCACCCTGCTTCAGTGGGAGACAATCAGCATGTTAAAAAAGATTGGTTTCAACAAAATAGTAATTTTTTTAACTCGACAGCCATCTCCCACCAAGACAGGGTGGCCCAAAGAAGAAAATACATTCACTCAAATGTTTTACCTGAAGTGTGCTGACATTACAATCAGATAACTGTATATATATTTTATTTTTTCAACACAGAGGTAGGGTGAACCAATTCACACATAACCACTGTGTTTGCAGATACAACAGTTCAGATGTCACTCCAAACAGCAAAACTATTGGACAGTGAGAGGAATTCTCATATCAGGGGTCTGGGCAATGAAAGGGCTAACCTGCATGTTATGACAGGGTTTACTGTGCATACAAATTAAGTATAAATTAATTTCAAAACTTTATTTCCTTACCAATAACCGCTGCTCCATAGCCATACCGCTGCTTGCCCATCCTGTAGGAGCAGGTGGGAACTGTCACTTCATGCAGCTTATCTTGAGTTGTATCAAAATTCCAAATTTTCATTTCTTCTTTGAGAACATGAAATTCTTGAGCTTGTGCTTTGTCTTTAGTGCCAGCAAAATTTAAGGACTCATGCTCATGCCCAGAGAATATAAAGGACGGATGTTCCTCTATTACTTTCTGCAAGAGATAAATTGCATATGTTAATATATAATATACTAGTGGAATATATCATCCATCATGACCTAATTCAGACTGAGTACAATGTACTAAATTTTATCTAAAGAAAATTCAACAATGAGGAAATTGAAGGTAGTTCATTAAATTATATTCATAATGCCTTATTTTGACCTTTATAATATAGAGTACTGTATTTGAATGATTGGAATCTTTATATATTCTTGGCCAATATCTTTAATATTTCCCTAACCTCACTGTAATTGTAAATTTTTATTTTCATCTGTGCCTTCAGATTTTCTTAATATTTTCTCATTATACTATATCTTCCATTTCAAACTGCACACCCATGTATTTGCTTCCATTTAATTTACTGTTACCAACCCCAAGTGGGCATCCATTTTTTGTTATGAGAGTAAATCCTCGTTTATTCAAATTTGGATAAACAGAATTACTGGGTATAGTACTATCAGTTTTCAATTTGGATTCAAGAATCTCCATGCATTGTTATATATTTTACCAAAGGCAAATCTTAAGTGCCAGTGTAGTATTGTATCATATTATAGATTACCTTGCAGTGCTGCATTACCCTTGTGGGTTTAGGGCTTAGTTATAGATCACCTTATCAATCAATGAGCAAAAGAGTAGCATTTGCAAAAAAAAAAAAAAAAAAAAAAAAAAATGGTAATAATATATATGCTGAACATAGTATTAAATTCTGCAAAGGTAATGCTAAACCATCTTAATATGACTTAAAATATTTATACAAACCTTAAAACAAATTATTAGTCTATACATTAATATTAAATATTCACTATACACACTATGTACAGTGGTCCCTCGCTTTTCGTAGTTTCCGGCAATCGTAAATTTCGCCAATCATAGGGGTATTTTCATATAAACATGGACTCGCTTTTCATAAGTTGACTCGCGAGTTGTAGTTCGTCCGTGACGCGTACCCACGGCGGGAGCTGTGGGGCAGCCATCGGGCATTTTTTTCCAGTGACAAAGGTCCCCCACGTGCCCCGCAAAAATTTTTAAAAAAATTTTCCCATTTATTTTAGTGTTTTAAGTACTAAAAAAGCTACCATGGCTCAAAGAAAGCCCCCTGTCCCAAAGCCTGTGGAAAAAAAGGTAGAAATACGTTTGAATTTAAGAAAACCATCTTTTGAACAAATGAAAGGGGTACAAGTGGGGCTGAACGGGCCAGGATGTATAAAAAACCCTACACAACCCTTATGTTCCATTTGGCAAGAAAAAGGAAATCAAGGATGCTGTTGTTGAAAAGGGGGTAACTATGTGCAAAAATGAGATCACCTACTTGAAGAGGTTGAAAAGTTTTTTGGTGGGGATAAATGAAAAACAATTTACAGGAGATACTCTTATGATTTCAATTTTTGGGTTAAAAAGGCTGGGCTTTGCATGCATTTGGTAAAAAATTGCCTGCAAATATGGTGATGGGAAATTTAAGGGCCAGCAAAAAGGCTGGTTTTGGAGATTTAAGAACCGTATTTTGGCTTTACACGGGGTTTTTTAAGCATGGTGGGGGCTCCCATTTCGGCCCCAACAAGGGCGGCTGAAAATTATGTGCTGAATTCCAGGAGTACATAGAGGCTGAAGGCTGAAACCTGAACAAGTGTTCAATTGTGAGAAAGAGGCCTCTTTTGGAAGAAAAATCCCAAAGAGGACCTTCTTACACAAGGGGAAAAAGGCAAGCCTGGACAAAACTATAAAAAGACAGGTGACGCTAATGTTTTTTTGAAGTTAGTGGGGATTTAAAGGAAGCCTTATAGTGACCATTCTAAAAAACCATGTTCAGGAAAAAAAAATTTTAAAGAAAGTAATTTTTTGTGTTTTGGAAAAATTAAAAGTAAGGCATGGGGCACGAGGGAAATTTTTTCGGGGAGGTTCAAAGAAGTGTTTGGCCTAGTGTGAAAGAGTATCTCCCGGAAAAGAAAAATTGGGGTTAAATGCCTGAGTAAAGGACAATGCAAATGCCATCCTCCAAACTTGGATGACCTAATTTTGAGGAGTTTGAGTTTATCCCGTTTAAAATTCTTCCCCCGAAATATCACCCCCTCCCCCAACCCATGGACCACAGGTTTTTGCAAATTAAAAAACTTACACAAAAGCAATGTTAAAAAGGGGCTTATGTGACCACAGACCTCACTTGACCCTAAGGGAATTTTTTGGGAGAACACTTCACATCCTTCTTTATAACCCTTATAGGTATGGCTTTGGGGGGGAGTGATACCCGGACTTTGAACTCTGCCGGAGAAATTTTGGCCAGAGTGTGTCGACAAAAGGGTTTTGAAGGGTTTGGGATGACCCCCGATGAGCCCAGTTTTGTAAAATCAATTTGGGGGGCATGGGGGGGTTCCATGGGGTTTTGGGTGTGGTTTGGAGGTGGGAAGAATTGGTGGAAGCCCCAAGAAGGCTACCACGAGGAGGCAAGGCTTTAGCAGGAAAGGGAACACATCGAGCTCGAATCTTGCTGCAGAGGGGAGGAAGAGAGATGGGAAAAAAGGTGCCTTCTTTAGAAATTAAAGGGATTTTTATGTGGGGTTAAAATGGAAAGCTTTTCGGAGAAACATCACCCTAACAAAGGTTGTTGAAGCCCTTTGGCAACTGTACAGTGACAAAATCTTTGGGCCATTTTTGGGAAGTGTTGAGATGCCAGAAACAGAGCTTTTTCCCCATTTTTTTTGCGAGACAGGACTCCAGTGACTCTCAAGGTGGTCCTAGTGGCATTAAGAAACAGAGAAGACAAGCAACCCCAGAAAAGCAATTGGTATCTGAGGTGTTGCTGGAAGGATATTCCCCTTCCAAACTATAAACAATCCACTCTCTCTCCTCCAGTCTCCCATACACTAAGAAGAATCTCCAATAAAGGTAAGTGTTATGCTGTTAATGTTTCATTCATCATTTCCCATTGTACTGTTTATGTACTACATGTATATTTCATGTAATTAATTGTATTTACATTATTTCTTATGGGGAAAATTGATTCGCAAATCATAAATTTCGTTTATAGTAGCTCCTCCAGGAACGGATTAATTACGAAAAACGAGGGACCACTGTACTTTATTACATAAAATATTTTTCCTACAACATTCCTGTAATTACTGTATTAAGAAGGCAAAGCAAGCTTTGTCGATAGGTTTATCTGGAGCATTACTTTAAAAATTCAGAGAAATATCGAGTGTCGAGAGTCTCTTACTAGTAAGCTATAAACACTGGACGAAAGTCATGGCTGTGTAAACATTCACAATACATACACTGTATATTCTTAAATATAAGAGGGTGGAAGGTTTATCTACAAAAATGATTTGTCATTCTCTTCCTAGTAAAAAGAATGCTAGCATACACCACAATTGCAATGACAATTGGGCACCAAAAAACAAAAATATTAAATTGGGACAATTTTCAGTCCTCCACGAAAAACAGACTAATAGTTGGTCATGCAAGTACTGTATGATCATGGCAAGGAATACCAAGTGTGGTGGAGTATACTCCAAGTGGTGAACATGGTGGAGGTTCACACACACAATCCAGCACTGAGTGAAACTGCATAACTGACAGTCCTGTAAGATTATTCTTCTTTATTTTAAACATAAATTATTAACAAACAAACATTTTAAGTTTTTACATTTCTTGTATGTACAAGGAATGTAGGGAGCAAGAGGGTAGTTACCCCCCTCTGTATAAATTACTAAATTTAAAAAGAAAAACTTTTTTTTTAGGTCACCCTGCTGTGGTGGGATACAGCAGGTGAGTTGAAAGATTATTACCATACCCAGATTAACTCTGGGATTTCTAGATTTTCAACATTTCACCTATTAAAATATTTTTTTGGCAAATACAGTACAGCATATCCTTGCTTTCTCAATAAAAATAAACGAGGAATATCAGGTAAGAAATTATTGCAAACAATATTCAGATAATTAGTTAATGGTCCATGTCTGACTGGAACGTCGTTACAAGTTTCAGTCTCCTATGTGTGAGTTATTTGTGAATTGTTCCAAGGACAGTATTGTGCTTATTTATTCATTAAAGAGCTGTATGAACCTTACAGGTTTAGCACTTGATTAGGATTATAATAATAATATTCATTATAGCAAACAAATTAAAATAAAAAATTTAGTAGCTGCTGACTTACTCTTAAAAGTTTACTTCTGTTCCATAATATTTTAATAGTTCTACTCAATCTACGAATTTTTGTATTTAATGTTTTAAAGGTAATGCATAAAGAGAATATGAAAATAATACTAATCAATGTTATTTTGGTTAATGCCACCTCTAGGGGGTAGTCAGACCTTTACAGTTATTGATTGTAAATTAATTTTAGCAATATAAAAATAGGTTTATGCAAACTGTGTAAATGTTTCATAGTTGAATGTGCACAGATATATACAGTATGCAGTACAGTACTGCATTAAAAAAAAAAAAAAAATAAAAATTTAATAAAAACTTGCTTTTTTAACACCAGCCATCTCCCACATAGGTAGGGTGACCCAAAAAAGAAACACTTTCACCATCATTCACACTATCACTGTCTTGCCAGAGGCGCACAGATACTACAGTTTAGATGTCCCTCCAAACAGCAAATATCCCCGCCCCTCCTTTAGAGCACAGGCATTGTACTTCCCACCTTCAGGACTCAAATCCTGCTAACTGGTTTCCCTGAATCCCTTCATAGAGGTTACCATGCTCACACTCCAACAGCACATCAAGGCATAAAACCCACTTACCTGCACTCCTATCTAACATGCTCACACACACCTGAATGTCATAGCCCCCTCATATACAAAACCTCCTTTATCCCCTCCCTCCAACCTTTCCAAGAGCAAATCCTACCCTGCCTTCCCTGAAATACAGATTGATCCACCCTCCAAGTCATCTTATTTTGTTCCATCCTCTCTAAATCTAAATATCTAAAAAACCTCTCCTCAGCTCTTTAGATAATACTTTTAGTAACCCCTAACCTCCTCCTAATCTCCAGACTATGAATTCTTTGCATAATACTTCCACCATGCACTGCCTTCAGACATGACATCTCCAATGTCACCTTTATTATGAGGTTAAAATATGGGGGCAACCCACTCTGGGAATTCAAAATAAGAAACCACATACCAACCCTGACCTACAGTCACCTCTGCTGCAACAGGTTATTTGCTATTATTTGGCAAAAACCACCTCTCATACTATTTGGTGCATGACACCAGGATGACACCTCCAGAACTGACTGAGCAAGACTTCACAAAACTTCTTGGTTAGACAAAAGCATTAACTGCAGTCATCTTTCATTTAATAAGTGTGTTGGCAGATGAATCAGAAAGAACACCAGGAGTCATACAATTTGTTGCCACTCCTGGATCTGCAGGCAAATGCCAGTAGTACTGCCATCAGACCCCAACAGATGGTCACCAGATGTATCACTGGAAGGTTATCTGACGCCCTGAGATGATCCAGTTTCCATCAGGTGGAGTGACTGACCATCTCAGCAATGTCAAGAAAATTTATTTAAGAAAATGTTTGATACTGATTCCTTCTCCCTTTCTTTCTAGGAGCTGAATTTCAAAAAGGGGATATCACTTTCTTGATGAGGTCAAAAGGAGAGAGAGAGTTGAGGGGTTTAAAAATCTGATCGAAGAAAAGAGATAAGAAATCTAATTCTTTAGATCAAGAGCCTGTTTGCTGTAGCAAGGAATTTCCCCCTCCCCCATGCCCTGAAGTAGTAGTTTGTCTAAGACGTAACATCCTAATTCTAGGCTGTACAAGTCATTATCTTGCTGTAATAAATAAATAAATAAATAAATAATATATTTTATATATATATATATATATTATATATATATATATATATTATTATATATTATTATATTTTATTTTAGGTACTAGGTTGGTAGACAGCAACCGCCCAGGGAGGTACTACCGTCCTGCCAAGTGAGTGTAAAACGAAAGCCTGTAATTGTTTTACATGATGGTAGGATTGCTGGTGTCTTTTGTCTGTCTCATAAATATGCAAGATTACAGGTAAGTCTTGCTACTTCTACTTACACTTAGGTCACACTAAACATACATGTACAAGCACATATATACACACCCTCTGGGTTTTCTTCTATTTTCTTTTTAGTTCTTATTCTTGTTTATTTCCTCTTATCTCCATGGGGAAGTGGAACAGAATTCTTCCTCCGTAAGCCATGCGTGTTGTAAGAGGCGACTAAAATGCCGGGAGCAAGGGGCTAGTAACCTCTTCTCCTGTATATATTACTAAATGTAAAAGGAGAAACTTTCGTTTTTCCTTTTGGGCCACCCTGCCTCGGTGGGATACGGCCGGTGTGTTGAAAGAAGAAAGATATATATATATATATATTAGGTAGTAGGTTGGTAGACAGCAACCGCCCAGGGAGGTACTACCGTCCTGCCAAGTGAGTGTAAAACAAAAGCCTGTAATTGTTTTACATGATGGTAGGATTGCTGGTGTCTTTTGTCTGTCTCATAAATATGCAAGATTACAGGTAAGTCTTGCTACTTCTACTTACACTTAGGTCACACTAAACATACATGTACAAGCATATATATACACACCCCTCTGGGTTTTCTTCTATTTTCTTTCTAATTCTTGTTCTTGTTTATTTCCTCTTATCTCCATGGGGAAGTGGAACAGAATTCTTCCTCTGTAAGCCATGCGTGTTGTAAGAGGCGACTAAAATGCCGGGAGCAAGGGGTTAGTAACCCCTTCTCCTGTATATATTACTAAATTTAAAAGGAGAAACTTCAGTTTTTTCTTTTGGACCACCCCACCTCAGTGGGATACGGCTGGTACGTTGAAAGAAGAAAAAGATAAAGAATATATATATATATAATATATATATAAAATTCTAGGTAGTAGGTTGGTAAACAGCAACCCCCCCGGGGAGGTACTACCGTCCTCCCAAAAGTGGGGTTTTTAAAACGAAAGCCTGTAATTGTTTTCATGGGGGGTTTGTGGTGCCCTTTTTTTTCTGTCTCAGAACATCAAGTTTCAGGTACTCTTGCTACTTTACTTACACTTAGGTCACACTACACAACTGTACAACCCAATATATACACCCCCTCGGGTTTTTTCATTTTCTTTCTAGTTTTTATTTTGTTTATTTCCCTTATCTCCAGGGAAGTAAAACAAAATTCTTCCTCCTAAGCCAGGGGTTTGTAAAGGGACAAAAATCCCGGAGCAAGGGCTGAACCTTTTCTCCTGATATATTAAAAAATGAAAAAGGAGAAACTTTCGTTTTTCCTTTTTGGGCCACCCCGCCTCGGGGGGATAGGCTGGTGTGTTGAAAGAAAGAAATATATATTATAATATATAATAAAATATCCTAGGTTAGTAGGTTGGTAGACAGCAACCACCCAGGGAAGTACTACCGTCCTGCCAGATGACTGTAAAACAAAAACCGTAACTGTTTTGCAGTGAGGATTTGTGGTTTCTTTTCTGTTCATAACCGCTAGATAACAGGGATATCTTGCTACTCCTACTTACACTTTGGTCACACTTCACAGACACCACATGCATATATATATTACATAATCTATTTTTTTTCTCCTTTTCTAAATAGCTCTTGTTTTTTTTATTTCTTCTATGCCCCAGGGGAAGGGGAAAAAGAACTTTCCCTCCGTAACCAGCGTGTTGTATAGGCACAAAAATGCCGGGAGAAATGGCTAGTAACCCCTTCTCCGTTTAAAATTACAAAAAAAAGAGAAGAAGAAAAACTTTATAAAACTGGGTTGCTTAAATGTGCTGGATGTAGGCGGATGACAAAAACAGATATTGCGATGTTATGAATGAAAAAAAGTTGGATTCTGGCCCTAAGCAAAACAAAGCTGAAGGGGGGTGGAGTTTCAGTGGGGGGAAAAAAATGGGATTAAATCGGGAGTATTGAGAGATTTAGAGCAAAGGGAAAGGGGGTAGCAGTAATGTTAATGATCATTTAGGGAAGGAGAAAAGAGAAATGAATTAAAAATTCAAAAATTATTGGGGATCAAAGAAAAGGTTGGATCGAGAAGGGGGTCAAAATAACGTGTATGCACCTGGAAAGAAGAATGCAGGGAGAGAGGAGATTTTGGAGATGTTAAGTAAAATGTTGGGAGCCTTTAAAACCAAGTGAGAGAGTAATGTGGTAGGGGATTTGAATGCTAAAGTAGGAGAAACTTTTGAGGGGTTGGGTATTTTAAGTTGGGGTGCCAGTGTAAATGAAATGGGAGCCCTTTGATTGAACTTTGTATAAAAAGGGGTTAGTTATAGGTAATACATTTTTAAAAGAAAAAAGTAAATAAGTATCACGTTTTGAGTAGGGCGAAAACGTTTTTTGGTTATGTATTGGTAGATAAAGACTGTTGAGTAGATTTCGATGTAAATGTTTTAGGGGGGCCACAGATATATCAGATCACTTTCTAGTTGTAGCTACACTAAAGGTAAAAGGAGATGGGATACAAGGAGAATAAAGCATCAGGGAAAGAGAGGTGAAGGTTATAAACAAAAGAGGAGGCAGTTTGGGTAAAAAATAAACAGCTATTGGAGGATAGATGGGCTAATGGAGCATAG